CCATCCATCCATCCATCCATCCATCCATCCATCCTTCCTTCCATCCATCCATCCATCCATCCATCCATCCATCCATCCATCCATCCATCCATCCATCCATCCATCCATCCTTCCATCCATCCATCCATCCATCCTTCCTTCCATCCATCCATCCATCCATCCATCCATCCATCCATCCATCCATCCATCCATCCATCCATCCATCCATCCATCCATCCATCCATCCATCCATCCATCCATCCATCTATCCATCCAATTATCTTTACCCACTTCTTCCTTTTCGAGTAGCAGGGGTCAGTGGTGCCCATATCCAATAATCACTGTGCGAGAGGTGGGGGGGCACTCTGGACAGGTGTCCAGTCCATCACTGGGACACATAGAAACAAACGAGACAACCATTCACTCTCACTCACACCTAGGAACAATTTAGAGTTACCAATCAGACTAACATGCATGTTTGTTTTGTGGGAGGAAACCAGAGTACCCGGCGAAAATCCACACATGCACAGAAAGAACATGCCAACTCCACCCAGAAAGGTCCCCGTCCAGGATTTGAACCGTTAACTAGCTCGCTGAGAGGCAGCAGCTCAACTGCGCCACATCTTGACAACATTCACAATGTATTTGAACAGGACACTATTGAAACAGACGTAATGATTGCCTATGTCTTATACAATACAGGATAAAAATCTACTAATATCTTATGAGATCAAGTTATTCAGATTATTTTTTTAAATAGATGCAAAAATGTCCTCTGCTTCAGCAAATGTTCTTAGCGACACATTAAGATAATTTTCCACCTTTTGGAAACAAGTTAGAAGCAAATCTGTTGCAGTGATTATTCTATGAACCTCCATTTTAAAAGTGTCCAAATCAGATTATCTTAGACAGGCTGTGTTAAAATAAATACACTGCGTTAAATCTTAATCACTTCATCGCTTGGTCTTTTTTTTTTTTTTAACAAGGGGCAGCCAAGTTAAAGACAGAACCAAATGCCAGATGTTTCTTCCATCATTTAAAAAAAAAGATTGCTCACTCCTGCGTTCATGTTGATGTGCGAGAACTCACTGCTTTAAAGTTGTGGAAGAGACCCATGCTGGCTGGGTGATGTGATTTCAGTGGGAACTGGAGGAAGGTTTTCATGTCCAGGTGTGGTGACATGACAGGTGGATTCCTGAAGAAGGCAGGGACCGGCCCGGGTCGGTTTACACTTCCTGTTGTTGTAAAGATAGAGAAAGAAAGAGTCAAGATGGAAATAGAAAACTATAATAAAAAGATGAAAAGTAAAGCAGATCAAAAACCATTATCAGTAACAATAAATAACAACAAAAGTATTTATGACCATTAAAATATGGAGGTTTTACTTTAGCATTCCCTGGGCTAAACATAAACTGTGCCTCAGTTTCTGATCAAATTTAATCTAAATGCTGACGTTCTTCAACGAGACAGTTCTGGTTGTTTGATTTGATGTTACTGCTTTTTTTAGTGTCACACAAAGATATAGATTTAGACTCAAATCAGAAAAAAAGTACAACTTGTGCAAGCTTTTGTTTAGCTGGTTTCAAACAAAACATCAGTGATTAAAATGCAAACTGCATTTTCAGAAATATAGAACAAACACATCAACATGGGAAAAAAGTTGTTCTCAAAATTACAATAGACGCAACAGTAATTGTAAAGTTGCACTTAAAGTTTTAAAATTATAATAGAAACAGATTGCTCAGTTCAGTTAAGGTTCAGTTAAAAAGAACCACATTTCAATTAATGATTTAGAATGACTATAAATCAGCACCTTATCAAATTCTATCATATGAGCCCAAATATTTATGTATTTCTTGAGTAAGGATATAGTTTACGATTTTTAAAATTTTGATTGTTTTGAAATAATAAGAGTTACAGTGTTTTATTCTTGAGCCACAACAACAAAAAGCAACAAAAAGATGGCTCAATTTTGCTGTTTCAACTAAAATAAACAAGTAGCATTTTGTAAGTCCCACTGTCTTGATTAAATGGGACGCTAATACAATAAAATGTTACAACTCAGATCTTTTTTTTTTTTTTTTTTCAGATTTTGATTCTTGTTGATTCACAAAGTTCTTATCTTTCTGCTGTATATTCAAATTCAAAATTTTCTATTATATTTATCGGTAATTTATTGCTTAAAAGAGCATCACAACAATGCACAAGGGAGAAGTTGGGACTTTAACCCCCACAGTCCCAGTGAGCAGACTCTGGTTCCAAAAACACAACAAGAAAAAACGGGGGTACTTGATTTATAAAATACCGGTATGCAGCATATGGGTTGTATTACGTGTGCATGTGTTAACTGCAAAGTTAAAAACGATATGAACCCTATTAAAGTTGACTTCACATCATTGTTACAGCCTAAATACACGAGACAGAACGTCTGAGTAGAAAAAAGTTAGTTTTAGATTAAAGTTGTTTTAACTAGAGGCCTTCAGTCAGAGCCGGTTTGTGCTAAGCTAAGCTAACAGCTTCTAGTTTTTTTAAGCAAATTCAAAGATTTATTTCCCCACAGTTACTTTAAACATCATGCAAACTTCATGCAGGGCATGGTCCAACTCACACTGGTTGAATTATGTTTTTATTCTCCGCTGTTTGTTTAAAACTTAAATAATGATCTTCTGCATGGTTTGCCAGTGTAGCACCCCCTCCCCACCCGCAGCTCTCCTCTCGGAGCTCTTCCTGCTCACTTTATTTCCAGTAGTAGCTCAGCGGCAGTGAATGCCTGCTCTTGAGGAGTCTTTTGTGATGGGCAGGGGGGCTAAGCTCCTTAAGCTTCGCAGCTGGGCCGCTGCAGATATCAGTCTTTTCTCAATTTCGCCTTCTGTCTCTCTCTTTCTCTGCGTTTCTCCCAGCGTGCGCAGTTTTCTGTTTCCATTTCATGGTCCCTTACACTGTGTCTCTCCATAGCCCTCATCTACACCCTCAGTCCTGCACCCGTTCTTCTGTTTAGTTCATCCTCGTCATCATCGTCGTCGTCTTTCTCTGCGGCTCTCCTCTTTTCACATCTGCTTCCTGCGTTGATTTCTCTTTCCGGAATGAAATCAGCAGATAATTTCTCCAGTCTTTTCTCCAGAGGTTTTGAAGTCAACATTCTTTAGCGCTGCCACTTTTTGTGATGACAGTTTTGTTACATTTGAGAAGAAAAGCAGGTATTTTGATGACAATAGAGAAGGCTCCTTTCACTGGCAGCAACAGTGAAGTAAAGAACGTGCTGTCAGCATCAGAAATAGATGGAGGGGAAACTCTCATCCTGGCAGCCCTGGGAGGCCAAAGCAGATGAAGCTCAGTAGTGATGGCATTTGTGTTTGGGTAGCCCACACTGCATTTCAGAAGGCATTCAGAGGTTAGGAGAAGAAAAACTGCATTAGTTGAAATGCCCGTGAGGCATGCAGCACCCCGAGTTTCTGTTTAAAGCAGCGCAACAAGATTAGTCCGAGTTAAAAACCATGCACAGATGAAAAACCTTTGTTCACAGCATTATGCAAGAGGAAATAAGTTCAGTAAATCATCTTGAAATATCAGAAACTGTTTTGGCTGCTAACTCCTACACGGGTATACACAGTGGTGTAGTCTACAATTTTGTAGTGGGTATACTGTGTTTAGAAACCAATGTATACCGGTTAGTACAATGTAATCGTCAATTTATTTTGACTTTTAAGCATACTGAACATTTCCAAATTTCTTTGACGCTTATATTTGAATACATGTACAAGAAACTGTGTACAACAGTTGGCTTTGTATTAAAATCATGTTATAGAATTTATAAAACAGTATCAAAGCAAAACATGTTCAAGTATTAAGTACAAAATAATACAATAATTCGCTGGATAAGCAAATGTAATAACCAAGCAAACAGATAGATTGTTACAGAAGTGTTTAACTGCCGTTTAATGTATCAATGACACGTGCTTAATGATATGCCATGTATCATTGGGCACTTTTAAGTGGGTATACTGAAATTCTTAATCTCTTCTAGTGGGTATACTCCATGTACACATGTATTGCGTAGACTACATCACTGAGTATACAGCAAGCAAACTTACACAGTAGAACTGGCAATTATTTTTTGCAAGATGTCTTTCCTGACACAACCTGGGTTCAAACCCACAGCCTCAGCACCACAGGATCATGGCATGAACCACTGATCTACCGTGTGGCCTTTTGAAATATAAATTTGAATATTTTATTAATCGGTTTCAGAAGCAAAGGACAAGAACTTCAGCGTTTTGTGTGTTCATTGCTGATTGGCTAAAAGACCAAATGTTTGTATCTCCACAGCTTGATATCAGAGCAACTATAAATTCAGAAAAATGTCAACCTTGATTATTTTGTTTCTTTGTGACTACAAAAGGTATATAAACTAAAACGCAATATTTATACAGCTTTGTGCAGACATTTTGACAGACATTACATTTCTTCATATTTTGCAACCAGGAAGCCAGACTGTTTGTAATACAAATGTATTTTAAAGGGGTTTTGATGAATATTTATTCAGATTTTCTCTTTTCTTTGGATTTTTACTGCTTTTTTTCCCCACTCATTTTCAGTTCACTTTATCATTGCTTTGATTTATTTCATTAATTTTTTTAAGCAGCCTTACTCGGATGTATCAATCCGGCATAAAAAAGCTGCTAAACTAAAGGAACGAAACAATTTGGACTCAACACTTAACAGACAACTTAGCAAAATAACCACATTTAAATCAGCTGTTTAATCAGTTTTTACAAACAGCTTGTCATCAAGACACAATTTTCTCACATTTTTACAACTGAATCTATAAAAAACACTAGAGATAATGCAATTTGACACATAGAATAGTATTTTGTCTCTAAAAATGTGATCGCCAGAGTGCTATCAGCTGACAGTTTATGATCAACTGTATCTCACAGGTCCTGCATCAAGTCCTGCCTGCATATATATATATATTTTTTAAGATTTTCAAATTCTGCCCCCACACATAAACCATTCTCATTTACCATTTTCTTGAACAATGGAAAGTTGTGCCTTCATTGGTGTAGCTTAAGGTGGAAGGAAGAGGAGAGGTCTGTTTAACTTGTGCATTACTTTTCACCAGTAGTGTTAGGGCTGACTCTTGAAACAAAGGAGCAGTTAAAATAAACTGAATTCATCAGGTTTATTTAATTGGAGAGAGTCAGATCAGTTCCCACCAGAGGTAAATGAACCTGAATTTAAATCTTTAGCCGGCACAAAATAAACCAAGGTCTCAGATCCAGTCATCTCATCTTAGACACATCTGGAAACAATCCCACTGAAGAGGGGTTGAGATATGTAGAGGTACGGTAGCCGACTTGGGACCAGAAAGTCACAGGTCATGCCCACATGTCGTGTCTTTGAGCAAGTCACCTAATCCCCAATTGTTCCCCGGGCACCTACATAGCTGCCCACTGCTCCACCTGGGCGTATTTCATGTGTGATGGGTTAAATGCAGAGAACTAATTTTGTCATTGTGTGGGAACATACAATGATGACAACACAGATCACTTACTGCATACTTATACTTAAGAAGAATGAACGACCTTCAAAATTTACAAGGGGGAGGATGAATTTTGGGACAACAATCTGAGGACACCAGTCAGACGGGAAAAAGAGGAAGAAATGGCGGAAGTTGTCAGAGCCCTTGATGAAGAAAACAACGCTTACTTCGAACTTGAAGCCTCACAGATCAGCGCACCCCTCCCATAATCCATAAAAAAACAAAGACCAGCCTTCACTGAGGACACTTGAAGCCTAAATAAAGGACTCGTGGTTCAGGATGATGATGAATAGACTGTCATTTCTGTTGTATAATCACATCCTCTGGTGTCCAAGAGATACACCTGATACAGAAAACGTACCAATAAGTGGTGACAGCAGCTAGCTGAGGTAGAGCACCCCTCTCCTAAACTACCCTTATCTGCTCCAAAGAGTGGGTTAGAGGTCATAGTATAAAATGCAGGATTCTGAACATCTCACACATGCAGATACTGCTTTGAACAACACCTCTTCAAAGCCCTGCTCAAAAGTATCAAAGCAAGCAAAGAAGCTGGAAATCATAATGTCATCAGCAAACACTGAATGGCTGACGCTACCAGATCATATGAAGTGATGGATTTTGAGTTGTTCCACTTTGAGACATTCAGTAGGAGAATTATGCCTCTGTGTTTTTTCTGAGAATGCATAATTATAG